CTTCCTTTCTTCTTTTTTTAATAGATTTTATGTGTACTGGGGTTTCTTAGGGCTCTTTGGCACTACTGATTATCTATCTAATACCATGCCAATTATTGTGGCTCTGTAACTATTTTAATACCTTGTGAGAAGTCCTTCCTTATAGCTCTTTCATAAAACACCTTAGCAATTGCATTGTTTGGTCAAGTTAAAAAAATAATTGCACTAGGATCTTGTTTGGGATCCCTGTTGAGAAACATGGGATGCTTTTAAATTCAGGTATATATTTTTTATATTAATTAAGTTTTAGTAGTATTCATCTCTTTTTCACAATTTAATATTTTGTTTTTGGTTGTTGCTATTATGATATTTTAATTTTTTCTATCCTATTCTTGTGATTAGTTATTGCTGGAATATATAAAAGTTATTAACTTTTTGTCTATCTTTCCTTATAGCTTCATTGAAATAATTTAATCTTTGGGGTTCTCTGTTGATTCTATTACCTTTCTATGTTATCTGCATGTTATCATGTTCATATTATCATATGAATAATCATATTATCTGCAAATAATGACAGTTTTGACTCTTTTCTGAATAGATACATTTCTTTTCTGTGTCATTTATATTGTGTTGACAAATACTTCCAAACAATATTAGCACACATGTCTTGTCCAGGATTTTAATGAGAATTCTCTAGTGTCTTGCTATTAAGTAAAATGTTCATTATTGGTTTAAGATAAATATTTCTTATTACTTTGAGGGATTATTTTTCTGGTTTTAGTCTCCTAATGGTTTTCTTTAAAAATCAAAATTTTGGGGCACCTGGGTGGCTCAGTCAGTTGGGCGTCCAACTTTAGCTAAGGTCACAAACTCGCAGTCAGTGAGTTTGAGCCCCTGTGAGTTTGAGCACCATGTCAGCTGTGCTGACAGCTCAGAGCCTGGAGCCTGCTTCAGATTCTGTGTCTCCCTCTCTCTCTGCCCCTCCCATGCTTGTGCTCTGTCCTTCTCTCTCTCAAAAATAAATAAACATTTAAAAAAAACTAAAAAAATAAATAAAAGTCAAAACTTTTGTTCAGTTTTTGTATCTGTCCTAATTTCCTAAAATGGACTAGGTGACTTTCTATCTTGTTTATACTACGGAACAGTTTATACGAATATTTATTTCCTAATAGTATGGAAGAACTCACTAGTAAGAGTTTTACTCTTAATGTTTTAAGGTCATTTTTTAAAAAATGTTTTATTTATTTCTAAGAGAGAGAGAGAGAGAGAGAGAGAGACAGCATGAGCAGGGGAGGTTCAGAGAGAGAGGGGAGTCACAGACTCTGAAACAGGCTCCAGGCTCTGAGCTGGCAGTCAGCACAGAGCCCGACGCGAGCCTTGAACCCACGAACCGCGAGATCATGACCTAAGCGAAAGTCGGACGCTTAACCGACTAAGCCACTCAGGCGCCCCTGTTTTAAGGTCATTTTGGATGTGATTCTTCAAAGACACTTTCTCTTTCATTAGTGGTTACCTAGAGTTTTCATGAGATGTTCATGGTTATGAGAAAAAAGATGATTATCTATTAAATATGTTATATTATGTCTTATAATTAAAAGAAACCATCACATCTCTATTTATATTTTATATACTTTTATATTTTAATATCTCTGATCTCTTTCTTTTTTAAAATCAGGTTTTCAAATATTTGATATGTTTAAATAAACTAGTTCTCAATTTTCCTGCTTTTTAAATATGTAATTTCTACTTTTGTCTTTATTATTTTCTTCCTTCTGCTTCTCCTCACTTTGTTTTACTCTTGTTCTTCTAATATTGTAATTATTCATTACATGTCTTTCCTTTTTAAATGATTGAAGTCTATGACACTTCGAATTTACTTCTAAATATAGTTCAGGCTACATTCTATAACTTTTGGATAGAATCTTCTGATTTTTATTATTTTTGAAACAGACTATAATGGTGGTTTTTGTTTCCTTTTGAATCCATTATTCTTTAGGAGAATTAAAAAAAGTGACTTGATTTTGCTTGCTTATTAATAATTAGTTTGCTTCTATTACTAATTTCTGGTTTTGTTGCCTTGTGGTCAAATAAAATAAGTTTTATGATTTTTCCTTCTGGATTTTACAGATATTTTTCTTTGTGAACTAGTTTATGATCTATTTTAGTAAATATTCTCTGGATCCTATGGGGAGGGGAATGAGATATTTACTTTGTTTATATTTCATCCAAAAGTTGTGACATTTGTTTATTTTTGCTTCTTGACCTCGAAGGTCAAGCAGAAACAAATATTTTAAAGACTCAATAGTTGTCTCTCTGTCAACTTCTTATTTATCTATTTTTCTCAGTATGTATTTTTTTTTCTGTTTTTCACAGTATATATTTTGATTCTGTTTCTATATACCCTAAAATCTTATGACTATTACATCTCAGAAATGAGTGTTACCTCTTATCAAATAAAACGTGACTTCTTTATTCCATTCATGCTTTTGGCATGTTGGAAGGTTAGTTTGCCTAAAATTAATATACAAGTAAAACCTTGGTTTGCGAGCATAATCTGTTCTGGAAACATGCTTATAATCCAAAACACTCGTATATCAAAGTGGCTCAGTTGTGATTGTGTGATATTCAGTGTCTTGTACCACTTCTATTGCAAGACATCGCTTGTTTATCAAGTTAATTTTTTTTTATTAAAAAATTTTTTTAAAATGTTTTATTTATTTCTGAGAGAGAGAGAGAGACAGCGTGAACAGGGGAGGGTCAGAGAGAGGGAGACACAGAATCTGAAACAGGCTCCAGGTTCTGAGCTGTCAGCACAGAGCCCAAGAACCCACGAACCATGTTATCATGACGCCTAACCGACTGAGCCACCCAGGCGCCCCTATCAAGTTAATTTTTATTAGAAATGTTGGCTCATCTTGCAGAATATTCACAGAGCAAGTTAATAACAATCTTAGGTTTTACTGTAATTAATAATATCATTTCTTACTTATATTTTCTCTATGCTTGATAAAGGATAAAGTCAGAAAATATATATGTCCTTTTTATTTTATTTTATTTTATCTTATTTTATTTTGAGAAAGAGAGTGTGAGTGGGTGAGAAGCGCAGATGGAGAAGGAGAGGAAGATAGAGAATCTTAAGCTGGCTCCATGCTCAGTGTGGAGTCCAATGTGGGGCTTGATCCCATGACCTAGGGATCTTGACCTGAGCAGAAATCAGGAGTTGAATGCTCAACTGATTGAGCACCCAGGTGCCCCTGGAATCCTTATAATACAAAAAAGGGACCCCAGTAGTGTGCAGACACAGAGAAACAGCCATGTGAGGACACAGTGAGATGGCGGCTGTCTGCAAGTAAGGAAGGAAAGCCACACCAGAAAGCAACCCGGCCAGGACCCAGGCCTTAGACTTCCAGCTCCAGAACCCTGAGACAATACATGTCTGTCACTGAAGCTGCCAGTCTGTGGTATTTTGTGACGGCAGCCTGAGCAGATGGATACATTTTTACACGTGCATGTCCATGGGTCTGTATACCTTAAGACCATTGGGCAACAATGTTTTTCACAGTGAGTTGAAATGTCTGAAGCGTGGCATGGAGAGGGTGGGGGCTGGGACAAGGGAAGCATTTGGCTATTTCAAAAACAAGTCCTTGCAGTGAGAGAAATGGCTGTCCAGTTTTCAGATATTGCTGAGTGAGGTGGGAGGGGGTTTGATTTCTTCCAGCCTTTTTTTAGAAGACAAGAGGAGTTTGGATAGATTTTTCTCAATTTAGCTCCATCAAAATTATAAGTAGTAGAAATTTCCTCCATCCTTTCTAATTCTAACAAAGTGGCAAGCTATTATTAGTTTTTGCTGTAGTGTGTTTTCATCTTTTTCTTAGTCTTCATAGAAGCCAGAAGACTGAGGTAAGGTTTTGCAGAAAGATTTCTCCTTTTGATACCCTTTTATAGAAGTTGCCATCTCTAGAGTCTGTCTCCAGGGGCTAGTTTTATAATCTGTAGAAGTCACATGGAAGACAGAGTGATGGAAACACATCTACAATTCAGGCCTGGTATAAATCTCATGCAAACCCTTTCTCTAGTAGAAGAAAACTAGATGTTTTGAGGGCTCAGAATAGCAGGTTTTTGAGATGTCTGAATATTCCACAAGTGAGGGAGCTTAGAAATACTGCTTTTGTCTCTTGAGGTTGGCTCATTCACAGTAGTATTGAAGGTGATATTAATGTCATATCCCAGTAAACGCCCTGGCCCTGAACACTAGGACAGTGCTTTCCCTTTACCATGGAGTTTATAGCTGGGTTTTTAGCTAAGAAGGAAGGATGCGTGGACCCTGTGGTGGTGCTACATGAACGGAGGGCTAATGGAGGTATGGTAAGTCAGGGAATGAGGATGGTCCTTTTATTTTATTTGCTCATTTGTTCAGCCCTTTACTCACTGTTCAATGAATATTATCGTGTGGCTGTTACGAACCAGGTGCAGTGCTAGGTGCTGAGTGAGAACCCGCTGTCTCTGCTTGAGTGGGGTTTTCGGGCAGATGCACCGGTAGCTCAGTGTGTACACTGCGGGAATCTTCTCCAGGGCCTCCAGTGGTCACAGTGGCTGGGCGGAAGTTCCAGGGCAAGGGTGCAGATTTGGCTTCTACACAAGAAACCCTTTGTAACAGTTATACTCGTTCATCAGCAAAGCAGGTCTCCTTTTGGGGTGGCAAGGCAAGTTCTCTGTCATTGCAGTGACACAGGAGGAGACACTTAAGGATACAGTAGGTGAAGTCTTAGAATTCACCAGCTATAAGCGTGAGCTCTTTGGAGAAAGGCCTTTGTCTCATTGTTTAGTAACTGTTTTGGATGTTCAATAAAGGCTTAGCAGGTACATGAATGGATAGATGAATAAAGGAGAAGACAGGCTCTACCAAGTGATCTCTCAAAGCCCCTGCAACTCTGAAGAGTGAGTGATTTCATACTGTCAGTGCCCCAAAGGGGCCCAAGATAAGACTTCTCACCCTTAGTCTAAAGATTGGCAGAACTCACTATGCAAGGTGGCTGCATCCAGGGCTCTCCATCCACTTGCATTGGCAGCAGCTTGTTTGTCCTGGAAAACCGAGAATTGAGAGAACACAGTGAGTTTGACTCTTCCGGAGGTGAAGAATTACGGTGGTCCCCACAAGGGAAACAGATGTGGGAAGACCTTATCTGCCCACCTAGGAGTGGTTCTCTAAGACTCTGCTGGAGGGCTGGTTAAAAACAGATTTCTGGGTCCACTTCAGGAATTCCGACTAGGCATGTCTGGGGTCATGCTCAGGGGCCTGCATTTTAATAAGCATCGTGGGCGATTCTGTTGCTTTGGTGCTCAGATCCTAGTTTGAGAAACACTGTCGTGGGTGAGTAGTGACGTCCACAGGAGTCTGGGAAACAGTGGCCAACAAGTATGGCGGCACCACTGCTGAGCAGACCCTCAGTCAACAACCAGCCGGAGGGCCTGCAGACTGTGCCAGAAACTCCACAGCAAAATGGGAAAGGTTATGAAATGGGAAAGGGCCTGGTTTCTATGTTGAGTGAGAAGTTGCATCACAACAATGAGGTAACGTCTCCAACCTATACAAGGTACAGCTCAGGTCTGAGTGTGTCTTGCTTTGCCCCTGCTCCTAACTATCCTCTCTCATATGTCTTGAACGGCAGCACGCTCTGTGCTTGCATGGACTAGGAACCTGGCTTAGCTGGGAAATGGGGTCATCAGGAATACTGTCCCCATGGATAGGAGAAGAGAAGAGAAGACAGTGCTGCTTTCTTGCTTGGGGCAAGGCTTCTCTGGCATATGGATTCTTAGAAGGAAGGAGATGGGGTCTTTTGACTTCCTTCTGTAGAGGAGTTATTGATTTGTACTACCTCACCTTGAGGAGGAAAGGCAAGTCCTTTCAGAAGCCTCTGGTCTGGACGAGCATGCAGCAGTTGCTACCCACTAGCCAGGAAGCTCTCACTTGGGTTTGGCATCTGCTCTGTTTTTGAAATTACAAAATGAGGGACACGGGCTATGTTTTGATACAGACGATTCTCTCACTAATCCTGAGAATACTTAATAAAAGAAATAATAAACCTAATAATACAACAAGCCATGAGAGGAGTGAGTGGCATTTTGGTTCTTGGGGCTGAGGAGGATGTCTGGGAAATGCCCAGGAGGTTGGAGATCCTGGCTCACGCCCTCCACTCCATCTAGAAATAGGTCTACTGAATATGAAGAAAAGGTCTTCCTCTTATACATGGCTTTTTTGATTCCTCTGGAACTAAGATGTTACATTTGTTGTGGCCTATGTCAGTTATGGCTTAGATGTGCAAACAGACTGGACCTACTCAGTGCTGGGGTCATGGAGGGTGGACAGGGAAGGAAGTATGGGGATTAATGTGGAAAACAGGCCCCCAGCACAGCAAAAGCTCAGAGATAAAACAAAGCTTTGGAGAGTAATAGAAAAGACATAAGAGATGCAGGGAGGGACTAAAGAAAAGAGTTTAGAGCTTAGGGGTGTCAGGGAGCCAGCTCTGGGGGTCTTTCTGAGGGATGCAGAGAGCAGCATTTCCCTAAAAGTATGTTCAGGACACTAGCCCAAGAGGTTTTGGGAGAAAAGGGGTCTGTGGTCCACTAACTTTGGGAAACCTGCATACCGTATCCTCTCCAGGAGATCCCTAAGGGCCAGTAAAAGATTTGAACTGTAGAAACTGGGTGGGGAAAAAGAAGGGAATGAAGACTTCTGAAATAATCAGGTGGAGAAGAATCTGATGAGTTTTACTGATTAAACAGAAGTAGCTGAAACCAGAGGATCCCCTCTCTTAGACTCCATTTTTTCCGGGAGCCTGCAGTGACTGACCTGTGGGTCCCATACCCTGCAGAAGCATAGCCCTCTTAGGCAATTAGGATAGATTTGCTGATGTGGATGGTTTGGCTCTACAAAGGCATATAGGAAATAGTATTTCTTTTTTTTTTTTTTTTAAATGTTTTATTTATTTCTAGGAGAGAGAGAGAGAGACAGCGTGAGCAGGGGAGGGTCAGAGAGAGAGGGAGTCACAGACTGAAACAGGCTCCAGGCTCTGAGCTGGCAGTCAGCACAGAGCCCGACGCGGGGCTCGAACCCACGAACCGCGAGATCATGACCCGAGTGAAAGTCGGATGCTTAACCAACTACGCCACCCGGGCGCCCCAGGAAATAGTATTTCTAAGATCACTATCCAAGAAAGAACAGGCAGAGAACCTGGTTTTTGTCACAGTGTGCCCTCTGTAGATGTATCTCGCATCTTAATTTGTAAAGGTAAGAAAGGCAAGGAGTTGGACCTCGGATTCTCTGGGTCTCATAAGCTTCCATTACTGTTGAGAGAATTTCATCAATTCGTTATAAGAGAATGGCCAACTGGTCATGGTGGACCTTTTAGTTGGATGGTTGCATTGTACCTAGTTTGGGAAATGGTCTTTACAGACATTTTTATAAATGTTATCAAGCTTCTGTACCTCACTCTCCCTGCATTGAAATCCAAAGTTGGCTTCCTAGTCGTTGTAGGAATACTGAGGGTGGTGGGAAGACGTGGAGGCTGCTGGGGAATGAGGGAGCATACCTGATGGTGACAGAGGAGCACTGGGCCAGCCTCCTGCCTGCACTCTTCAGACCAGTGTAGATCTGCCCCATCTCCATGGCTCCCTCCAGCCCCACCACTTCGAGGAGCTGGTCACTGAGGTCTGCAGAGTGAGAGAAGCAGAAGCAGGGCATACATATCTCTCTGTTCCTCAGGATGGCTTTGGTCAGAATGTCTGCTCCCTAGATGACCAACCCACATCTGTCAATACCCCTTCCTCTCCCACTAGACAGCGTTTTCATAGTCATTCCAAATAGGGAATTTCCCCAAAGGTCAATAAATGCACCTTTTCATGAACAGAAACCCAGTTCTAGTGAAAAAAGGTTTTGATTCAGAATATTAATATGCATCCAAGGAATAGGCTGGCATTTCAGGAAGCCTCTTCAAATGGAGAGTAATATAAATGATGAAACAGCGATTGCCGAAATGATTTTCAACCCCTCATTGCAGCTAAAGACACACTGGTTTGGGATGAGGATAGGAAGGAATGTTGATGAAAGTCCTTGTCCATAACTGGTTCAAGTTTCTTTTCTCTGAATGTCTAAATAACATCATGACTGATGATTAATTAACCTCAAATCTGGCCTGTGGTAAGCCAGTGGTGAGCCAACCTTCTTGGACATCCTTGGGGAAATCAGTGACCTCCTTCAGGACACCAGGTGCCAAAGCTAAGCCAAGGAAAAGAATATTTCACCTAACCCAAATTATTCTGAGTCCACAGTAGAAAAAGCAGGACAGTAAGTATGTGTCTCAGGCTCAGAGTCACATAGGACTGGTGGCCTTCCACAGCGGCAGTTCCTCCTCATCCAGCACCTGGAAGAGGTCCTTTATTCAGGGTTCCTGAGGCTTGGGCAGTGCCCACCCAATTTCTTGTAAAAGCAATAGCAGGATCAAGGTCTGACATTGTGAACAAGGCTCACTTTTACAACACAACTTTTAGGTATTTAAAACAGAAGCAAAATAAAAAGGCAGATTGTTTAAAAGCTTCCATTCTTTTCCCTACCAGGGCAAAGGAACTTTTCTTATAGATTGTAGCTAATTACCAATATCCTACTAATATCCACAAACTAGAAAGTCAACACGTTTATTTATTTAATAGATGGCTTTTGTCTAAGGTCCCTCCTGGTACTGGTAATAGTGTTTGCTAAGATTGCCAAGGACATTTTGGGTTTGTCTATACTTTTTTGTTTAGAAGGTATTGTTTAAAAACATTCCCTTGATGGACGTTTTCTAATGAAGACAGTTAAGCAAACCACTGAGCTGACCACAAATGTGTCAACATTGCTACAGTCTAACGTCCTGATTATCATTGATGGACATTAGCTGCCAACAGATACACAAACGGTGTTCATCTTTCTATTACAGGCACATAAGCTTTCCCCTCTGCTTCAATCCACACTCCCATTCTCTGCTATTCCTTTTTTCATATCTGTGAAGAGATACTATCTCCTTAAACTCTCCATCTCATGTGGGCTTGGGACAAGAAGCCATGAAAGGGCAGTGTTTGTTTAGGAGATCGCTGCAGGCTCTCTTAAGGAGTTTGGATCCAATAAACACCAAGTATCTAAACCTCTAGCCATGTAATTAGTTCCCTCTTTACCAAAGGGTATTAAATAACTAGTGGATAGTCTTATAGCTTACTGTGTCATTTCAACACAGTGTCTGCAAAATCAGCATGGGTTGTGAATTTGAGAGGGGAGAGGGGAGAGGGAGGAGGAGCAGGAGGAAAGAGAGAAACAGAGGAGTGTGTCTAGGGGTGAGGAGGGTGGGGGAGTTATACTGGGGTAAGAGAAAAAAGAAGGAAAACTTTTCAGAGGTTTCTCTAGTGGCAGAAAGACAGATGTCTTGTAAAATGTTGCTCTTTGTACCAGGCTTCGGTATCTGACAGTGCTGTTATAGTTCAATGTTTTCCCTCCTTGAAACATTCCCTGGTAACAAAATGTTCTAAGAAGCAGGGGACTTAATAGACTCAAGTGTTTCAGCTTTTACAATGTCTTGGTCTTTTAACAAATTTTCCTGTTGAATGGCTTTAAGTTGTTATCACTTCCCACACATTACCTTGCAGCTATCACTTCCCACACATTACCTTGCTTCCTGGCTCTAGAAGAGAAGTAATGAAGGCTGATCTCATCCACATGGTGGGTGGGTGGGGGGCAGAGGCTTACACACATGTGAGACGGAGGAGATAAATGCAGGGTAAGGGGCTAGGATCTTGGTATACCCTTTGCCATTCTGATTTTGAATTTGTACTCTGAATCTTCCCTGGCATAAAGAGGCTAGGATGACTCCTGTCTACTACTGAAGGAAGACTTGATTGCTCTTCTATTTCTCCACCATTGCCTGGCTGATCTTTCTTTCAACTTCCTACAATGCCTACTAGGAAGTTCTGAGATAAAGAAATCTATTTAACGTTGTTTCCCAAACTTATGGGACCATGAGGCTCTTCTTTTGTGTGATATCTATAAACAGTCCCTGGTAGTTTTCTTTGGAACACATTTTGGGATATTTTGGCATCGCTTAATTCCCTTTACTTCCTTTAGCACAGAGATGCTTATGCACAAATTAAATCTGGAGTTAAAATGAAACAGAATAGAGTGTAAGTCAACATCCAAGCACATAGAACAATTAATGTTCAGAACTTAGAATCCAGGATCAGGACATCTGGTATACCAGGTGTCTGTTTTACCTGATACCCATGATTCAGAGTGTGGTTTTGGCAATTCACATCATCTCCATGTTGTCCTTACGCTTTTAACTCATTAGTATTTAAGATGAAAAGTCCATGCACCTTAGTAAAACAGGAATTCATTCATTCATTCATTCATTCATTCACTCACTCATAAGCTACTGAGTAGCAGCTTAAGTGCCAGACAAAAACCAGGAATACAAAATGTTCTACTCTTAAAGGACTCTTGGCTAAGAGGGAGAAAATGTGTTAGGTGTAGAAAATGTTGGAATTGAACTACAGGGAGAGGGAGGCCCGAGTAACCTATTCTGCCTGGGCTAAGTGGGGGAGGAAGGTGTCACAGATATTTAAGGCATGTCTTGAAGGATGAATGCCAGGCAATTTGCTGGGTTGAGAAGGAGAAGAAGCAAAGATAGTCCAGGGACAGAGATGATCATATGTAGGGTTGGACGGTCACAGAATGCAGAAAGAAATTAATTTAGTAATAAATCCATTCGGCAATTTCATTGAAAAATATAAAATATATATTTCTACCTAAAGAGAACTACTGCCCAGATAGATATCTATATCTATGCCTATGCCTATGCCTATGCCTATGCCTATGTCTATTATCTATCTATCTATCTATCTATCTATCTATCTATCTATCTATCATCTATCTATCTATCATCTATCTATAGATATTGACAAAACTGTAAGAAGAGGATCACTGGACTGAGCACAAGTTTGTTGTAACCACAGAGCGAGGCCTTTCAGCTCCGCTCTTCATAACCAAGCCTTGTGCTTGGATGCAGGGAACACTTAATTTACACTCTCTGAGAAGGAAAAAAAAGATGGAGAATGGGAAAATGGAAAAAGGAGAATGTGGAAGCAAAGGAAGAATGGCAAGGACAACAATAGCAGTTCCAATCTGGCCCACTTGACTCAGCCTCCAGTTTGTGATTTTATAAATGCAAATCTGCTCATGTCATCCCCATACCAAAAATCCTTCAGTGGCACCAATCATAACACCAAGTGCTGGCAAGAGAAGATGAAATGTGCATTCTTTCACACCTATGATGAAAGTGTAAATTGGAAAAAACTTTTCAGAAAGAAATTTGACAATAAGAGTCTATAATTTTCATACTGTTGATTCATTACATTCTTTTTTGGTATTGATCACAAGAAATCACTGACAGAATCTAAGCTCATACAAATATGAACACTGTGGCATCATTTATAATAGTGAAACCTCACCCATCACCATTTCCATCTCTATGAGAATAGTTAAAGTATATGGTATCCATGATGATAGACTTATGCCTCCATTAAGATATTTACAAAATCCCAAAAACATTATCTATGCATATAATGTTAAATGTAAAGGTGACAAACGTATTTATGCACAGGCTGCTTTCAGTTATATAAGAATGTGCATAGGAGAAAAGGACAAATTCCCCTAAAATCTTAACAGTGGTGAGTTATGAATAATTAGATTAAAGGTCATTGTTATTTTCTACATGCTGCTTTTCTACATTTTTCATATTTTCTCTAAGGATGTATTAATGTTATAATTCAAAACTCATTTAAAAAAACATATCAACTGACTGCTCTTCATACTTGTAACTGTGATGTAAAGTCCCAGGCTTGATGCCCCAGGCCTATCCCCATCTGGCAAGAGGTTGCGCCTACAGTTTTATTTCCTGACGCCGTGGGCTAGTACGTGCTCCAGACATACAACATCAACATGTAGTTCTCCAGGTAAGCCCTCCTGTTTCCCTCCTTTGTGCCCCTATGCATGCTGTACCCCTGCCTGAAATGCCCTCTTCCACTTTCACTCGTTCATCAAAACTCAGCTCAAGTGTCATCAACTTCAAGAAGCCTCCCTCCCCTCCCGTGCCTGAAGTTTGGTTTAGATCCTTCTCTTCAAATTTTCCCAGGTAGATGTGGTCAAAGAAAGAACAAGGGGGTTAATGTATTGGCAGTGGGTAAGAGATGGTTGTAATACTCACTGTAGCACAGGATCTAGTTTGAACAGGGAAAGAGACGAAGGGCTAGAAGAAAAGGGAGAAAGGGGGTGAGAGGTATGAGGAATTCTAGAGACAGAAGAAGAAGGAGGGTTGGAAAGAGGTGCTCTGAGCTGTGCTGCTAGTAGATGATAGTCCCTCCTGTGGCCCCAGTGCTGGGAGCTGAAGAAGACGGGCATTAGTATCAAGACGAAGGGAGGCGAGGTCAATGGTTCCCATACTTTGCTGTGTGTTAACATTACCTGGCAAGTTTTTACAAATAATGACGACCTGATTGCATCTATGGCAATTAAATCAGAATGTGTGGGCCTGGGAGGCAGGCATCAGTGTTTGTTTTTAAAGATTCCCAGGTGATTCCAAAAGGCAACACAGTTTGGGAATCGCTGGGCTAGGTTGTTGGGTGGTTCTCAA